TCTTTAACAACACATCTGAACCCTGTCCTATCCTGTGCCATCCTCACAATCTCTGACACAATGAAGCCCGTTGCTGAAGTCATGTGTCAATTCACCTGATACTGAGTTCCCTCCTCTCATTCACTGTCCCTCTACCTTTCCAAGCATGATGTCCCTCTCCATAGTATGTGACACAAAGCATCATCATCTTTGCCTCTAAGTAGCACTCTGGCTGTACCTTCTTCAAGACATACCTGTTCGTTCTTTTGGCATGCAATGAGATACTTAGTGTTCTCTTCCAACACCACAACTCAATTGCATCAATTTTTCTTCTGACATCCTTATCCATTGTACAGCTCTCAGATGCAAAGCAAGTGACTGGAAAGACCATGGCCTGAATTAAGTACACTTTTGTCTTCAAACTGTCATCATTGCTCCTCAATAATTTGGAGAGGTCTCAAACTACAGACTTTCCCAGTACAATATAACTCCTGATCTCCTGCCTGCAGGTACTAAATGTACTGATTGCAGATCAAAGTAAGATAAAGTCATTGATTAGTTTCAATCTTTTCTTGATCCATCATATTGTCAACTGATCCAGTGCTAAAGATTTTTGTTAGCTTCTGCAGCAAGTGCTTCAAGTCTTTCTTATTTTCCGCAGGCTAGGTTGCATCATCTGCATGGCAAAGGTAATTGATGAGTCCTCCTCCAAACCTAATGCCTTATTCTTCTTTATAGAGTCTAACTTCTCAAATAATTTGCTCTGCATATAGATTAAATAGGTGTTGAGAAAAAATATAACCCTGATGCACACTATTTCCTAATTTTAAACCATGTAATATCTCCTTATTGTGTTTGAACAACAGCCTCGTGGTCTATGTACAGGTATTGCACAAGCACAATAAAATGTTCTGGGATTCTCATTCTTCTCAATATTAGCCATAATTTGTTCTGATCCACAAAGTCAAATACCTTAGCATAGTTAGTTATATATGAATAGGCATTCTTCTGGTAGTCTTTGCTTTCAGCTAGGATCCATCTGACATCAGCAATGATATTTCACGTACTTCAGGTGGGAGACACCATCACATACCCAGGGCATCATCCTGACACACCACATCTGGCCTCAGCTGGGCTGTGGCCCATGAAAGTCCGTGTGCCTGATTTGCTGTAAGAGCAGAAACACTAGGGCCATAGGAAGACAGTCCTGGAGAAGAAGTTCAGAGACAAAGACCTTCCTCCAGAACCTCCTGCTATAGAAAGCCTTCCCTTTTTGCTGGTCTCCAGAACTCAGATATGGAGTCTCCTAAACGGGGAGACTTATTTTTCAATTGATTGTATTGGAGGATTTATCAGCATTATGTGAATTACTTTGTATCTTGAGCCTCTGCATTCTTGCTTGCTTATCTCTGTTCTAATTAGTACAGCACTTTTCTGTCAGTTTGCTGTACTGAGATAACTTACAGGTTTCTATGATGCTAAAAGCTATGCCATTGGTGCGTCAAATGCCAGAGGGGTCACTCATGATGGACAGTTTTTAGGAGAGCTATCAGATTAAGATAAACTAGGAAGCATGATTAACCATCTACTTTTGAAATACCAAGCCTCTGAAAACCCCCATGAACATGTCTTGTTGTTGTTATTGTGTATCACAGAGTCAGAAACAACCCACAGCTGACCCTCCAGTAGGTTTTCAGAGGCAGTTAAACTCACAGGAAGTGACTATCCATCTTGTGTGTGTGTGTGTGTGTGTGTGTGTGTGAAGCAACTGATGGATTTAAACCATATACCTTTGTATTGACCACACAGTTCCTTACCCCTAAGTCATCAGAGCTCCTTATGCCCTAGAACAATCATTTTATGATAAGGAGTAGAGTTTTAGGAACGCTGATGGTTGTTGTTGTATTGTTGTTAAGTGTCATCAAGTTGTAGATGACTTATAGCGACCCTATGAACAAAAGACCTGAGCACTATTCATAGAATTTCTGGAGGCAAGCCATTTTGGAAGTGGATGCTACACCTGCTTCCTAGCTTGTTTTAATTGGGAAACTCCTCCAAACACTGTCCACCATGAGTAACCGTTATTACATTTGGCACATTAGTGTCACGATGTTCAGCATCATAGCAACCACGAGTTACCTCTGTACAGCAATGCACCGACCAGTGCTATACCACTTAGAAGAATGTTTAACAAAATTGCTAACCAATCCCTATAAGACAGTTCTTCTTGTAATGTAGGATCACTATGAGTCAAAATTAATCCAATAAAAATGGGATAGATTTGTTAGTTGACGGTGCCATTTGAGGTCATCAGGTTGGTTCTGACTTATAATCACCCTACACATAATGGAAGGAAACACCACCAAATGCAAACCTTCATTGTTATAATCTACTGAGATTTGTGTTGGTCATTGTATATCATGAAAACTATCTATGATTTATATATCTAGTATATACATATGTCTATGTATTTAACCTCACAAAACAAACAGAGGTATCTTTGTTTTATTGTCATTGCTGTTTCCCCTCTGTGAACAAGATTCAGTTACAGTTCTCCATATTTTATTCACAGACAAACTGGGTGTCTATCAATTCTGAAGACAGGAAAAGGTTGCGGTATGGTACAGAGTGTTTGTGTTAAAGTCGCCCTTCTGGTCACCTAATTGTACTCTACAGATGAGTAATTTTTCCCTTCAGATTAGGAAATTACTAGAATAAACTTTAATCACAACTAGAGATGCAGTAGGGTGACTTGTAATCACAACTAGAAAACTAAAGTTTATAGTGCTGAGTTTCATGCCTCTTAGTGGATACTATATACTTTGGATTGTGTTGTTTCAAGTGCTATTGAGTTGACCATGACTCTTAGTGACCCCATGACCAATGGACCTGAGCCACCTGTGCCATCCTGACCATCACTGTAATACTCAAGTCCATCATTCCAGTCACCATGTCAATCCATCTTGTTGAGGGTCTTCCCCTCCTTCAATGACCCTCACCCTTCCCAACCATGATGCCCTTTTCCAAGGACTGCCCCTTCCTAAAAACATACCTAAAGTATGTGACATGAAATTTCACTATTTTTGCCTCCTGGCTCCATCTTTTCAAGACATATTTGCTTGTTCTTTTGATATTCCATGGGCTATTCAGCACTCTTATCCAACACCACAACTCAAAGGCATCAATTCTTCTGTCATTATTATACATTGTCCAACTTTCAGAAGCACAGCAAGTAATTGAAAAGATTAGGGGCACCTTATTCTTTAAATTGACATCATTGCTCTTGAACACTTTGTAGAGATCTTGATGGCAGACTTTCCCATTGCAGTACATGTTTTGATTTCCTGACTCCTGGTGCTATGAGAATTTCCTCATTTAAATTCTCAAGTTGAGGGAGGTGCCCTTACATTGCACTTGTTATTCTCAGAGGGGGGTATTCAAATGACTAAAAACATCACAATAACTTAAATTAAAAAAAATAATAACTTGTTCCCCTTCTATTGACCAAAGCAAGTCTATGGCTAAGCTCACCCATTTACAAGGCTGAGAAGTGAACTCTAGTCACGAGAAGGTTTTACAAGTCACAAGTATATAGATTTAAACAAACAACTAGTTGTCATAAAAGGGAGCTCTGTATGTCAGAGATGATGAGGATCGCACAGGATAGGACAGGTTTAAGAGCTGTTGTTCAGATCATAGTATCACTATGAGTTATATTTGGCTTGATAGCATCTAACAACAATAACAACAACATGGATAACCTAGAGGACAGAGTCCAATTGTCCTTTAAGAGTTTTCAAGGCTTATACTGGAGACTTGGCTGACATGGCATGTACATATAACAGGTTGCTACATGAAAGGTTGGAAGTTCAAACCCAGTGACACTCCCTGCAGGAGCTCTGATGACTTGTTGTTGTTATTGTTGTTATGTGCAGTCAAGTCGCTTGTGACTAATAGCAACCCTACGTACAACAGCCCTAAACCCTGCTCTATCCCTTGCCAATGTTATTATCTCCAACGTGCCCATCCCCATTACCCCAGTGACAGAGGTGTTCCATTTCCTTCTTAACAATATCTAGTTTTCCTACATTCATGGTTCTTGTATTTCATGTTCCAATCACTAGTGCCTGCTTACAACTGTTCCTTCTTCTATGCCTTTCCATATTGAGGGCTCACCCTCAGCTGCCATAACTGCTAGTCTAAGCGTGCTCTGTTGTCCATAGGGTTTTCAAAGGTCTGCTATTTTGGAAGTGGATGGCCAAGGCTTCTTCCTAGTCTGTCTTAATTAGATTGCTCAGATTTAGGACATTATCTGACAGACAAGCATTTTACAGAAAAGAGCAGATTAAAGATATTTCCCAATAGTAGAAAAAAAAAATAGATTCTGTGTTGTCCCCACAGTTGCCAGGTGTGTTTTGAGCCTTCCCTTGCCCTACTCCACCAGTATTTATATTAGTGGTCAGGAATTGTGTTGTCAAAGCAACACAATACTCAGCTCAAATCAACCAGCTGTTCTGTATCAGAAAAATGAACAATCTCCTCCCGTGCAGTTCACTGACCATGAAAACCTACTAGAGGGTCAACTATGGGTCAGTTCCTACTCAACAGTACACACACGACCACAGCAGTCATTCCATGGGAGAAAGAGGGATGGTCTCCTCCCATAAAGATCCACAGCCTCAGAAATCCAATGGATGGTTGTTATGAATCAGATGAGGCTAGAAGGCAGGGATCTCTTCATGGAAGCAGATTTCTACAGCTTCCTCCTGAAGAGTCGCTGGTGGGTTCCAACTGAATCTTTTATTTAGCAGATATCTCTGGCATCTAACCCTGTTCCAAGAAGGGGACTCAGAAATTAATACTTATTCCTTAAGGCTGTGTATTTCGTAATCTAATTGACCATGTTACCTCAGAATTTAGTAGCGTAAGGGTTAAAAAAAATAGATTGGTAATTTCCCCAACTGCCCCCCTATGACTAGACAGAGCTCTCTCATTCCCTTTGATCCAACTGCCCAACTCACCATGCAGGGAAAGCGTTCCATTCCTCACAGCCAGGAATTTGACCCCATATGGAAAGAAGCGAGTAGAGTGGACACTCCCATGGAGTGTAATTTGAGCTTTGCCTTGGAAGGGTTTATCCTCTGATCCAATACGGAGTTCTCCACCATCAGACACAAGGATGGAGTGGGCCTTGAGCTCAATTGGCCCTGGGCCCCTGAAAAGCAGCTTGCCTCCTAAAAGAAAAGAACAAAAAGTCAATCTCTGGGAGGATAAAGCGCACCTTCTCATGACAATTCAAAAGTCTGATAAAACTCCCTTCAATTTTTTACTCATGCTGGCATCTAAAATTAATTTATCTTGATATCTCTTCTTGGAGATCCATTAGAATGCAGGAATTAACAACAATATCATTAATAGCACAGGTAAGCAAAATATTAGCTTTAGAAGATGCCATGGCATCAGGAATATAATTGTTGTTGTCAGATGTATCCTAGCTTAAAGAAAAGAATATTGAGGGGGGAAGTATATTTGTGTTTTATTGATTACCACAAGCTATGGCAAACACTGACAAGAATGGGAATCTCAGAATAGTTAACTGTGCTCATGTGAAACCTGTAACTAGATCAAGAAGTTGTTATGCAAAGCAATGC